TGGGGGGACGCGTCCTCCGGGCCTGACGCGTGCGGATTCAGCTCTCTTATGCTCCCGAGCCCCGGGCCCCGCTGCAGCCACGTGAGAAAACCCGGTTCCGTTTTTTCCAGAGCGTTCTTTACAGCATTCCCGTGCCCTTTTGTGTCGTGTTCTTTGCTGTCTTCTCTTCTCCCCGGATGGCAGCACCAGCCGCCCCCTCCTCATCCCACCACCCCCCGTGCAGGTGCACCACGGGGCGGACCGAGGTGGGCGAGCTCTGGGCACAGAGCCTGGCCTGCGGCAACAGTGGTGACGGCAAGTGTCTGGTCCCGTGCGTGCATCGATTCATTCCTTTTTAGGACGGCTGTGGGAGGCGGCCCCCTGGCTGAGGTGACCACACCTCAGGCGGAGGCACGCTGCTGCCCCCAGGCCCTAAGACCTCAGGTGGGCTCAGGGCCCCTCCCTCCTGTAAAGACCCCTGACCGCCCGCTCCTCCCCTGCCAGGCACACTGATCCCTTTGAGTGGTCCGTGCAGTTTGGCGAGCTGTCTGCCTCACCGTCTATCTGGAATCTGGAGGCCTACTACAACCGGTACCAGGTGGAGGAGATCATTTTGAACCCCATGTATCTGGGGGCTTCATCCCCTGACATCGCCCTGCTGAAGCTGTCCTCCTCCGTCACCTACAATAAGTACATCCACCCCGTCTGTGTTGCGGCCTCTTCCTCGGAGTTCCAGAACCAGACTGACTGCTGGGTGACGGGCTGGGGGCACATCGGAGAAGATCAAGGTGAGGCTGGGGGCAGGTGGGGGGTGGGGCAGGGGGGCTGCGGGCTCCGCCGTCTGTTCCGTCCACAGCGGCTTCAGCAGCCCCCACCTGGGTCTCTGTGCAGCTGGGTCCCTCCTGGGGGCTGCCCAGCAGTGCCTGCCCCCCGCCCCCCGCCAGGGCAGGACCTCCTGTCCCCACACCCCGTTCCCTCTGCCTTCCAGAGACTGTGAGCCCGAAGCCACAGTGAGAGGGAGGCCAGCTGGGCCCAGGCCCGCGCTCCGCACCCAGCCTGCAAGGGTGTCGGGGTTGGCGGAGGTCGCGTTAGAAAGGCCTCAGTGGTTTTGTGTGCGTTCTTTCGGCTCAGCACGGGTGCTCACCCAGCCCCCAGCCATCCCACCTCCCCGCTTTGGCTTTTCCATACCTTCTGCACCTACCTGCCTTGCCACCCTGTCTCCTTGCCTGGAGTCCTGAGCCCGTTGTCTGTCTTTGCAATGTCAAAGCATCTCCTTTCTCTGACTCCCCACTAAATCTGTGGGGGGCGGTCCTTGGGCCAGCCTGAAGCGTCACCCGTGCACCTCTGCCCCGAGGTGCCCTGGGTCCTGAGCGCCACACACAGGGCCTGGCTCCTATGCCTGGGCGGCCCCCTATGTTCCTCCCTGGCCTGGCCCCTTCCGGCAGCACCCCTCCCTCAGCAGTGATGGCAGAGAAGGTTCCTCGAGGGCGCGCCTCGTGCCGACACTGTTCTAGGCTCTGGACCCTGCGGACCGAGCAGGGTGAGGTCTCTCTTCTGGGCCTTACCTGCGAATGAGGCAGGGCCATTTTTATACCTGCTTTATCAATGAGGAAAGGGAGAGACTTACAGAAGTGGCCGTAAGGTCCCAGAAGGAGTCAGTGGAGAAGCCGGGGCTCACTGAGCGAGAGAACAACGTGTCCTCGAGGTCACACATCGGGGGTTGGCAGGGCGGAGAGAGAAACCTGCGCTGGTCCTGCCTTCCTTTAGAGTTGGGGTCCTGTCCCTTCCTTACAAGGGACTGGAGAGAGTGTCCCCCTGCTCCCCCTGCTCCCCCTGCAGATCCCTCCCGGCCCAAAGGGCTGAGTGGGTGTGAACCAAGGGACCCAGCCACCAGACTCCCTGGCCCGAGGCTGACAGGTAGTCAGGGCCGGCCCCAGGCTCCCGACTCGTACTAGGAGGTAGCAGGTGACTCTGGCCGCCACCCCCCTTGCCTGCTGGGAGGCTTAGCTCTCCCTCCTTCCGGTTGGGAGACCCCAGGCCAGGCATCTCCTCCCCCTGTGCCTGGGCCTCCTCATCTGCAGAACAAGGTGAAACGGTTCCCAGCACAGAGCGTGGTTCTGAAATTTAAAGAGGTTCCTCCCTGAGGGCTCAGCAGAGTGCCTGGCGGACCAGAGGCTCCACCTACACGTTAACCGTGGTATCCTCGTGACGTCCTCGGACGGATCAGCCGGTGGCTCGGAATTGGACAGATTTGGGTTCACGATGGGCTCTGACGCCTCCCCGGCGCTTTGCTGGGGGTGGGAGGGGCAGCCCTCCCCGCCGAGTCTTTCCTTACCTGAGAGTGGGTCCCCATCAGGCCGCGCCCTCGGAGGGCCACAGGGGCCCCAAGAAAGGCCTGGAAGCACCTGACGGGCAGCTGGACCACAGTGACCGTAACCCTGCTCACCTGTGTCGGTCCCTCCCCACCGGCTCGGGGGCCGCTTGCCATCCGCACGCGCCCGCAGGGAAGCCGGGCCTCGGCGATGAGCTGCGGCAGCGGGTCCGTCCCCCACGACGTGCCGGGTGCTGCTGGCCCCAGGGACCCTCGTCCCTCCCCCCTCCCCCGTGGCCTGTGCCATCTCTCCCAAGCAGATGGCAGAAGAGAGGCTCAGGGTGCCGTCTTTCTTTGTCCCCTCGCCCTGGGCAGTGCTGCCAGCCCCCTACCTCCTCCAGGAAGTACAGGTCGGCATCATCAACACCACCATGTGTAACTACCTGTACACACAGCCCCTGGTCCGCTACGACATCTGGGGGGACATGGTGTGCGCTGGCGATTCCCAAGGAGGCAAGGATTCCTGCTTCGTGAGTGTCCCTCTCCACCCCAGCCCCAAGCCCGAGGGCGGCCCGCGCCTCGTTTGGTCCGTGTGTCAATCCCAGTGGGTAGAGACCAGTGCCCCACTTCACAGATGCAGAAACTGAGGCTTGTTTACTTCCGGGGTGGGGGGTAGGATGTGCACCCGGTCTGCCCGGCTCCACAGCCCCTCCTGCTGTCCCTCCCGTCTCCACTGGCCCTTGGGAGCCCCCCGCCCACTCGCCGCCAGGCCTGGCTCACCCGCGCCGCTCCCCAGGGTGACTCCGGTGGCCCCTTGGCCTGCGAAAAGAGAGGTGTGTGGATTCAGGTTGGCATCGTGAGCTGGGGATCGGGCTGCGGTAGACCCAACCGGCCCGGGGTCTACACCAATGTCAGTAGGCACTTCAACTGGATCCGGATGCTGGTGGCCCGCGGCAGCACTCACAGGCCGGAGCCCCCTCGGCTGCTCCTGCCCCTCGCTGGGCTCTGGGCCGGGCTCCCGCAGCCGGCCTGAGCCCAACGGAGTCCTGAGAGCTGGGGCCATCTGCTGAGCCAGGCCCCGTCCCCCACCTTGTCCCTTTTCTAATAAACTCCTTAGCGTGTTGGAATCGATGCCTCGCAGAGCATTCTGTGGCCCCGGGTGGCTCCCTGGACACCCTCACGGTCCCCCCGGGATCCAGTCCTTCGCTCCTAAATCTCGCTCCAGCTGTCTGCGCCATTCAGGTTTGGGTGACGAACCACGGAGCCCTCTCTGGTTGGTTCAATCAGAAAGATAGTTTATGGGAGGACGTCAGTCACCCCAGGGTCGCTGGGGGCCAGGAAGACCGGAGCGGGGTGCAGCGGGGGGAGCATCCCGAGCCCCCCGGTGTTCATGCCGGTGCGACCCTCCACCCAGATGCCAGACGTTCCCGGTCCTACCTCTGTCCCCGAAGGGCCGACCCGGGACCAGGACTGGGGTGCGGGAAGTTTACTTGGGAGGTGACGCCGTGAGGCCCCAGTGAGGAGCAGGGAAACCGAGGCAGGGAGGGAAGCAGCCGGATGACGTTTGCCCAAATGAGGGGATTCCCGCCGAGGGCAGCGGAGGCAGAGTCCTGCTGGAGCGGAGAAGCCGCAGGGGCACGGCTCGGCCTCCCCTCAAAGCAGACCCCCTTGCTCACCCGACATCCCGGGAGGAAGGCTGGAAGGGGGCCCTGGTTCCCCAAATAGGGAGAGTGGGCGCACCAGACCGAAGTCTTCCCACCAGGCGGAGAGCCCCCCTCCCCTCCCTGTCGATTCACTCGGGGCCACCACGGCCTCTGGTGGGTCTTGCTGTTTCTTCTTCCTCCCTCCCTGCCTCCATCGCGGCGGGAAGGGTTCGAGTCCACAGGCGGCAAGGCAAGCAGACGCTGGAAACTCACTGTGGCTCCCCGCTGCTCAGGGGCCCGTGGCCAGGCTGGGCCCCCCACCCCTGCAGGGACCTGGCCGCCTCCCACCACCCCTCACCCCTCCACTGACACTGGCACGTGGCACCCGTGAGACCAGCTCTTGTCTGCCTCGGGGTCCTTGCAGATGCTGTTCCCTTTGTCTAGAATGTTCCCTCCTTTGTCTGGTGGCCGCCTGCTCTTCCTCCAGACCTCCCTTGTGACGTCGCTCCTTCCGCTCTGTCATCCTGCTCGTCACGCACCTTACGGTCCTTCGTGCCACCTCTCAGTGGGTCGCTAGCTTTGCGGTCCTTCGGTGGGCGGTCCTAAAGCCTGCGGTGGCCCAGCAACGATGGTGCAGCCACGCGCCTTCGTGGTGGAGACACTCCGTGACCCCTCCAGGAATCAGTGACAGGCTCCGGGAGGTCTGGCCGTGGCCGCCCGCCTCCCCGTCCTGCGGTGCAGGTGATGCTGGACGTGTCCGGGCCGGGGTGGGAGTGAGCCCTGGGGGACCGTCCACGCTGGGCCCCGGGGTCACCACGGGGCAGCTCTGGGTCCCCGGTTCACTCCACAGAGTCCACTGCCCTTGCTCTCCTGAGATGGTGTGTGGACAAGTGACGTTTCCTCAGGCTTACGGAAGGGACTCCACAGATGCAGACTCAGGCCACCTGCTTCCAACCAAACCGCTGTTCCTGCGCCGCTTTTTAAGGACAAACGTCAGGGCCGCCGCTTGCGACCGTGCGACAGTGCCGGGATTCTGGAGCGCGGCGCTCGCAGGAGGTGCCGCGGGGTCTCCGAGATCTGAGAAAGAGTTATTTAGGTTTTTGAACTCTAGACCCAGCAAACGAATGAGGAGGGGCAGCACGACGTCCTTCTCGGACAGGAAGGCTCCCCGGTGGTCGCCCGCCTTCCTCCCCGAGGAACGTACCTGTCGTGGCCAAGAACACAGAGCCCGTGCTTGTCTGCATCCCCGTCTCTGGAAACTGAGGATGTCACTTTCGTGGGGAAAGACACTGCAGATGAGCCAAGGACGGGACATGGGGAGGTCATCCCGGATGGCCCAGGTGGGACCAGTGTCATCACAAGGTCCTTAAACCGGAAGCGGTCAGAAGAGAGAGTGGAGTGAGGCCACGTGAGGAGATTGTGCGACAGAAGGGACGCAAGAAAGACTTAAGAGGTGGAAGGCAGTGGAAATGGGGCGTGGAAGTCACGTGTCTTTGTCCTGGAAAGCGACGAAGGACAATCAGGAGCGCCAGGGGTGAGGGCAGCAAACCCAAGGTCCCAAATCAGCCGGTGTGCGCTCCAGCTCGTAGCCGCGCGGTGGCCGGAGGCGGCGTTTGTCTCGCGGCCACTCTGTGCCCGGCGGCGGGGGTGAGAACGGCACCCAGTGCCTTCACACCTGCGCTCCCCTCCGCACCGCCGGGGAAGTGAACCGGGCTAGTGAGTGAAGCAGTGAGGACAACGCCAGGCATCGGCTGTCATCGTCGTCACCTGTCACCACCAGCCTCCTCCCCATCAGCACCGGGTGGCCCGAGGACGCCAGCTCCCAGCCCGAGAGGCCCCCGCGTGAGACCCTGGCCACGGGCCTCCTCCGCGCCGCGTGCCCCGCAGCTGTGGCTTCTCATGCGTTTTCCACGGACTCTTGTTTCCAAAGGCTGTTAATAGACGTTGTTTGTAAAGCGATCCCGTGCCCACAGACTTCTGGGAGAGTGAACTTTGTTTGCTTGTCGTAGGACCTTTCTAGGACTCTGATGGGGGTAAAACGCATCAGAAATCTGTGAGAGGGTGTGGGAGAGGCAGGAGAGAAGCATCAAAGGAAAAGACTTCCAAAGGGAAGGGCTGGAGAAGGCGCAAGGCCTTAGGACATGTTTACACAGCTGAACGCCCCGCGGCCGGTAAGGAGCGCCTAGAGCCGTTAACGTTGTCCAGGGCCGGACCCTCCTTCACACCTGACCCTTCCTAGTGTCATAGAAACCAATGAACTCGGAACCCAACCTTGAAAAGCTAAACCATTAGATTGATTCACACGCTTGCGGAGCTGACATGACGCACGTAGTTTTTAGCAATTATCCTGATAAAAAGAAGCTTCATTCTGGAGTCCGGACCTCGTTCCCGCTCGAGCATGAGGACCTTCGCCTAACTGCATTTTTGTTTGCGGACTCGTCTTTTGCGACTCCGGCCATACTCCGGAGTCGGGGCTCCTGACAGGCTCACCCGGTTAAGCGTCTGACTCTTGATTTTGGCTCAGGTCATGATCTCATGGTTCGTGGGTTCGAACCCCGTGTCCAGCTCTGCACTGACAGCATGGAGCCTGCTTGGGATTCTCTCTCCCTTTCTGCTCCTCCCCCTTGGATGCCGCCCCCCCCCCAAGTAAATAAATAAACATTAAAGAAAGAAAGAAACCTGCACGAGGATATGCAGTGGGCAGTGTTCCCGAAGTGAACTGAGGGTTCCCGTGGAACCCTCGACTGGGGAGATTCACCAGAGACGTGTGAGAAGCTGCCCCGTGTCTCTGGGCCCAGCTGGGTTCTGGCAGTCCCGCCCTCCGCCCCCTCCTGTAGGATCCCCGGATCAGGTGGCTTCTGGTCTTTCAGCTCCTGTCTCCGCTGTGTGCCCTCTCTGCCACAAGGGGGCACCTGGCGAGCTGCGGCCGCCCCGTCCACACCGCCTGGCGCTCCCTGCAGGGGACGGAAGGGCACCGAGTGCTGCTTCCGAGTGCTGCTTCCTCGTTGGATGTTTGCTCACCGAGCAGGCCCACGGAAATGCAGGGGTGCAGGGGACCTCAGGTGCCTGAAACACAGTTTGCACACACTTGTTTCCGTGGGAGGAGGACCCTGGCCCCCTGCCTCCCGTTGCCGTGTGCCCCATTCCGTGTCCAGCCTGAGCAGCCTCTGTGTCGGACCCCTTCTCTCCGCCCCCAGGAGGTCTGTCCCTGCCCCGGTCTGAAGGCCAGGTGCAAAGCCTCGCACGCAGAGCGTCTGCCCACAGAGCAGGCTGGTTTCCTGTGCAGGAGCCGCGGTCCGTCGGGAGCTTGAAGATGTGTCACACGCTGCCCGGGGCTGCTGGTTCCCGCCTGACAAACGCCGCTGCCGGGACGGCCGTTTACCATCACGGGCCAAGTGGCTCTGTGATTGCGGAACCAGACTTGTTTGTGAAAAGAGCTCTGGGGCGCTTGAGTGGCTCAGTCCGTTAAGCGTCCAACTCTTGGTTGCGGCTCTGGCCGTGACCTCATGGTTCCTGAGTTCGAGCCCTGCATCAGCAGTGTCCGGGCAGAGCCTGCCTGGGATTTTCTCTCCCTCTTTCTGCCCCTTCCCCGCTATCCCTCTCCCTGAAATAAATACGTGAGGTTAAAAAAAAAATAGAACAGCACCTCCATGTAAATCTTTATAAATCTCGGTGCACCCTCCTAATCATTTCTTAGGCTAACTTTTCCATGGGTGCTTTGGTCACACAGGCTTCCTGTTTTCAAAGGTTTCTAAACCACGAGAAAGACTCCAACACAGTAAGAGGGGCCTATTTCCTACAGTGTTTTTGACACTGAGGGCTTCCACTTCTATGGCCTTGGTAAGCTTATAGGTTAAAAAAAAAAGCATCCCAATTTTTAAAAATGTAATCATTTTGTTTTTGTAGGAGCGGTCCAGTCTTACCCAAAGAAATCAAAGCCATCCAAAGGACAGGGGAGAAATCGAAAAAGGTCCTAAACCCCACCCTCTGGAAATAGCCGTTTTTCTGATTGAACACTGTTCCAGAAGTCTGTTTGGAAAAGCAGGTTCAAGGGCAGGCAGGAGGAAGCATAGGTAGGGTGGGGCCGGGCGGGGACCTGGACACACACGTGCCTGCTCCCCCCAGACACCTCCAGACTCCAGAGAACAGCAAGATGTTTACAAAGAGAATAATTCTCTGAGAGAGTTGCGCCCCAGCTGTACGGCAGGGGCCTCTCACCGGAGAGAGGCAGCTGGGGTTGGGTGGATGGGGGCCAGGGCCTCAGGGGGCCTGGGGGTGGGGTTCTGGCCACTTGCACGTGGGGGGCAGTGGGTCTGGGGTTCAGGAGAGGCTCCCAGGTAGGCCTCAGGCTGACCGGTTGATGCCCTGTAACGGGTTAGATTGTGGCCCC